TCTTCAAAAATCGCTGCCCAGATGGAGCTCAGCCTTCTCCTCGATAAATGCCTTTCTGCCCCTAAAGCCTATCCGCCTGCCTCTTTCTCCGACGGCTCCCCGCAAACCCGCCCGCCGCCGCCGGGGTGTCCCAGCCGGCCGTCGGGGCTCGACGGCCCCGTTCCCACGCGGAGTCCCCCCAAAAGTGGGGCAGGCGGAGCCGGGGAGCGCGGCCGCGGGCGGCGTTGATGCCCCGGCACTGATGCGGGATTGCGGGGAGACATCCCGGGGTGCGCGGGGCTCCATCACCGTCCCCCGGCGTGGGCCGCCGCCGCCAGCCTGACTGTCGGGGGGGTTTGCGAGGGAGAAAAAAAAAACAAAACAAAACAAAACAAAAAAAAGGCAGAAAGCGAGTGCCTGAGCCCCCGGGTGCGTGGGTTTGCGCTCCCCCGGGAGCGAGGGATACGCGGGGCTGATCCGAAAAGCCGGGCGTGAAGTTCCGAGGCGAAACCTTCGGGTTCCTCAACCCCGCGTTCAGCTGCCCGGGTGAAAAGCAGGAGGCGAAGGTGCGTTGCAGGCAGCGAGGCGTTTCAATTCCCCTCGCATATAAACACAGGAACGGCCTTTCAAGAAATTCAGACAACTTTGTAAAACACCATCTACTCACACGTTCACACCGAGAAGAGCAGTAAAAGGGTATGAGTGTAGGGTCTGGATTTTATATTTTCCTGTCCTCTGGGGTCTGGTTTTAGACGGAGGGAAATGGTTTTTTATTTTAGGGAAATTTTTTTTTTTCCTCCTTTTTCTGTGTGGAGAAAGATTAACTTTTCGGGCCGAGAAATACAGGTGCTCCCAGGAATTTCTTCCCCCCCCCGGGCGCACAGATCTAGGCGAGGACCGCAGAGCCGCCTTCTGCGGGACAGCGAAAGGGAGATTACAACGTTGAAAGCTAAAACAAAGGGGTCTCGTATTTCCCACTGAGCAGTACCGGGCTAGTTATGGCAGGGAAAAAGCCAAGCCCTTAGCAAGTGAGAGAAGCAGGAGGAAAGCCAGTTCAAGGCGGAGAGGCAGGGACTTTCGTTCAGAAATTGATCTGCGCTTGGAACAGGAAAAAGTGACTCTTCACATCTGTCCGACTATTTCGGTTTATTTATAGCTGATGGGGAAATATCATCTTTTCCTTCCCCTCCCTGGAAACGGGAAAAGCACTGGTAGCTTTCTCCTTCCTACGGGATAAGCTTTCCTGCGGCGGGGAACAAGCGCTGCTTGCGAGACCCGGCGGGGGCTGGGGGGCGGCTCCGGGCACCCCCCGGCCCGGGCACCCCCCTGCCTCGGGCACCCCCCCACCGCCGGGCACCCCCCGGCCCGGCCCGGGCGGTCCAGCAAAGCTTTGCAGGTCCGAGGTCGTGTTTCAGGGGGGGAAGCTGCGTGGAAAAGGAGGCCCGATCCTGCAGACAGACTCGCCTATAACGTTCGGAGGGAAGTCTTAGAGAAGCAGAGGCTGGAAGGTCAGCTTCTAAAGCAGCCTACTGGGCTGTTCCGTGGTCATAAAGTCCTTAAGTAACCTTGCGTTTTAAAAAAAAAAAAAAAAAAAAAAAAAAAGAAAGAAAGAATTAAAAAAAAAAAAAAAAAAGGAAGCCTTCTTTGACATGGTTCAGTAATAAAACAATCGAAAAAGCTAAACCTCTCCCGCTCGGGCACTCCAAGAAGGGAGTTTGAAATTAGCTGCAAAATCCCCCTGTGAGTTAATGACCTAATTTGCGAGGTATAAATTCACTAACTGTCTTTGCTTTCTTCTTTTTTTTTTTTTTTTTTTTCCTTTCTGTTTTTTTCCCCCCGGACCTCCATGGAAATTTCTTTATTCATTTGTTTGTAATATACCAAAACTGCGACACATTGCTGCGCAGTATTCATAGAATGGAAAATACTCGCCTGGGTACCCTTGGCTTTGTAAATAACTGCTTTGCCAATAGATGGCATAGTGTCCTTTCCATTGTGAGGAAGCTCCGCTTCCCCGTTTATTTACCTTGCTTGTTTTGTTTTGCTCGCAGGAATTTTTTTTTTTTTTTTACGCATAAACGTCTCTTTGCATTTCCTTCCCTGGAGTACAGAAAACATAGGTATATTTAAAAAGGTATATTGCAAAAATTAAAATTACAGATGTAATACATACTGTGAAACCTATAAAAATGCGTTTACAATGGTTACTTAAAAAAGAAATTTATAACTTTCATATGTACCTTACTCGTGCAATATGCAACTGCCATATGTTTCCTAGTTCCATAATTCAGTTTTTCCTGGACAGCTGGAGCAGGTAGTACTTCTTAAAGTACATTTCATGTAATATGAGAACTAGCCCTGACTAAAGACCGAGAGTTACCATAAAAAGACACAAGCTTTGCTTAAAAAATGTTGTTTAACTACACATCATTTCTTACAGTGGTATGATATAAATGTTCCCGTAGACCCACGTTATGATAAAACGGGGATAGACCGTACCTTTTTACTGCTGAAACCCCAGCCTCACAAACATAAATATTGCCAATTAGTGACCCTACCCTAAACTATAGTGATTTAAGGCTACCTAATTTAATTTAATTCCATACATGTTTTCATATTTTTCCTGAGACAATAGTGAAAATATGAGTTAAATTTATAGGAAAGCAATAAAAATGCAAAGCCAGAGGTTTCTTCAACCCTCATTTAGCGTTCGCAAACGTTTATTTTGTGACTGGAGTAACGAAAAGGCTGTTTTTAAAAACCGTTTGTCTGAAACGAATAATAAATGTAAGTGAGAGCGTCGTATTAAAGACTGGAGATTTCCTTAAAAATTATTCATACTCGTGGCTGAGTAGTTCCAAATTAAGGTAGTAATTTAAGCGCTATTAAACGCCATCACCAGAATATTTATAATTTTTAACACGGGTGACTTTAAACTGTGCTTTCAGTTTTTTAATGCAATTCCTCAGCATTTTCACCCGTCTGGAAAGCCGGTCGGTTGGCTGCGCATTGATTTCCGTACGTTGATCTTATTTATACTCCGCAGCAGGGGACCGAATTTTTTTTTTTTTAATTTTTTTTTTTTTTTACACACACACACCCACACACCCACACACCCAGACACACACACCCCCCACACACACACACACCCCCCCCACACACACACCCGTTTTAAAACGAGACTTGAGGCTGCGGGACCACCGGCCGGTAAAGCCGACGCGGGCCGAGGGGCTCGGTGGAACCCGCGTGGAAGGGCCGGCAGCCGCCACGCGTGGGGCGCGACGGGGCCGAGAGGTCTCCCCGTCGGCGGGCACGGCCGCGACCCGGTCGGCTCCTCGGTGCGCGGCCGCGGTGCTGAAGCGGGAACCAAACGGTGCCACGCCGCACGGCTAAGCCCCCCTCTAACTCCCACTCGCGGCAGCCGTCGTTCGAGGGCCGCCGTCGCGCCGCCGTGGCCGAGCTCCCGGCAGTTTGGGCTTTGGCTTCGGGGCGACCGGCGACCGCCTCAGCGGGGGTCCCCGCGGTTCGGGTTAACTCTGGGTCCCCCCAGGCGACAAACGGCTCGGGGAGCGCGGAGGGCGCGGGGGTCCCCCCCTCCCTCGCCTCCCTCGCTCGGAGCACCGAGCGGGATGCTCGGTCCTGGAGGCTGGGGCCGGGTCGGATTCGCCGTCCCCTTTTTTGGGGGGTGGGAACCGGCAGGCCAGACCGAGCCCGGGGCGGGGGGGGGGGGTCTCGGGTGGCGGGGAAGCCGGCCCCGCTCCCTCCCGCCCTGGCCCGGCCGCGGAGCTGAGCCCGTCGGGCGGGCGCACGGCGCGGCGTGTCCGGGACAGGCCCCGGGAAGAATCCCCGGGGGGGGGGGGGGGCTGAGCCCGGGTGGGGGGGGGGGTCGCCGGGGGCTCCGCGGGCCTGGGCCCGGCGCGGGATCAGCCGGTGCCAGTCCGCGCCCCTCGCTGCCAGCCGCGCTCATTACGCGCCCGCGGAAGGCGAAGCGCCCGAAGCCGGGCCAGGGGCCGGGCCGCTCTCACGGGAAGGAGGAGGAGAAGCCCCCCCGCCGCTCCGGAGGGGCCCTGCCTGCCGCTCCCCCCATGCCACCGCCTCCGCCGGGCTGCAGCCCGGGCGGGGGTCCCCGGCCCAGCGGGACGGGCAGGCTGTAACACCCCGCCGCGGCCGGGGGGGTGCTGGGAGGGTGTGTGGGGCGGTGGTTTCCTGCCTCTTTTAAACTGAAGCCACGCTTAACCTTCTCTCAAGCCTGTTCGGGAGGTGATCTGTATCCCAGGCTCGCACCCTGTTACAGGAAAGCTGGAAGCGCTAACTCGCCCCCAGCACCCCCAGTCCTCCCGCTCAGCCGCAACCGCGGAGAGCAAGGAAGAGAGAAGTGAGGGCGAAGGTGCACTTGGGATGCACAGAAACGGGGTTTATACGCCATTTTCTCACCGGCGTCTGTAATTTTTCTCCAGTTATGACAATGTTTGACTGACTAGCTGCCGCCAGCTACCTGCTGTCAGTTTTACACGCCGCGTCTCCTTAGGGTGAAGCAATTATGCTCACTGGGGGGAAAAAGCCGATAACGATATAAATATGTTCTCCTTAGTGACCGCTCCTATGGTCCCCTGCCGGGAATTTACAGAAAATCGTGTCTTTGAAAAGGACGCTGTGGATATTTTACTCTCTGATGGCACCCAGCTTCAGTGTTTGTAGAAAAGATTTGCAGAAATCGCACTGTGAATGGCAAAACGTGACCATAACTATCCCCTAAATGTCACTCGAGGTTTTCGAAGGGAGCACAGGAAAATATCTTTTGGGTGAATTTTTTTTTTTTTGTTTGTTTGTTTTTGTTTTTGTTCCCCCGCAGGAAGTCTGACCATGCGATTCTCCTACATCAAATCAGCAGCGCCTCACCCAACTGCCTAAAAACCCGGACTGCATTTTAAAGTCCGGAAATAAAAGTAACCCCAGTAAGGTGTTTTGAATATATATATTATTCCATTAGCAGATCACTATATATAGAGATTCTTCTCTCTTTCATCATCCCATAAAAAAAATTAATCGGACAGACATATGGATCACAGGTTGTTCGAAAAATTTAAATCCACAGAGTTATTTAAAAAAAAAAAAAAAAAGTCAAGGAATGAAAACAACATGCCACATATCAACCCAGAGAAATCTGGCAAGGAAAAGAAAAAAATTAACAAGTACAAGCGCCCACCCTCCCGGGAAAAAAAAAAAAAAAAAAAAAAAATCTGGGCGATTTGTCCATCCGCCGTAGGAAAGGCAGGCTGCGCGCACCCCGCGGTGCGGCGCGGAGCGGCGCGGAGCAAGGGGTCAGGGTCTCCTCGGCGGAAAAGCGCGGCGGTTGGCCCTAGGGGGAGGGATAAGGAATAAAAAACTGGGCAGGACCAGCAACCCCGTGTCCAAAGGCTTCTCCGGGACCCCACGGCACCCCCGCCGCCCCGGCCCCGGCCCGGTCCCCTCCCGTACGCCGCGGAGAGCCCGGCGGAGCGGAGCGGAGGGGAGGGGAGGGCGGTTCGCCCCCCGGCAGGTCCGGGCGGCTGCTCGGGGCCGGCCCCGCTCCGCCAAAAGCGCAGCCTCGGCCTAAAGCCCCCGCACCACCCCCCAACTTCCCCCCCCCCCCCCCCCCCCGCCTCCTTCCTCCTCCCGCCGCCCGCCCGCCGGGCCCCGCCGCCGCGGAGCGCACCCTCCGCCTCCTCCCGCGCTCCTCCGCGCCTCCCCCCCCCCCCTCTTCGCCCCGGGGGTCGGTACCTGCTCCCGCGGGCCCGTCGCACCGGTGGCGGGGGAGCGCGGAGCGGGGCCGCGGAAGGTGCCGTCGGAGATGGGCGGGCGGGGAGGGAGGTCTGCCGGAGCGCCCTCGGACACAGAGCATCCATTTCCTTCCTTCCTCTCCCTATCGATCTCATCCCCACCGCGATGGCGTTTAAACTCTTGCAAGATCCTCTAGCTTAGCACGTTTCGATCACTCCCGCACATCTGATTTCCTTCAGATTCAATCGCGGCTGGAATAGGCAGAGCAGACAGACTTTAGACCACGGAACAGTTAATATGTCCCAGATTTAATGTAAAGATAAACTAACCCCACAGCACTGTTCGTCGGTGACAGGCATTAGGCATTTTCTGCTCTCCTATCGATTCAGAGCCACAGCCACTGCAGGGGAATTTTTTTCGTAGTGATGAATTTTTCTCAGACAAATTGCCATCTCTTCCAATGTGGAGAGAGTTAGTGCTCCTGCGGCGGTTTCGCGTTTTTGTTTTTGTTTGTTTTTTCTTTAATCAATTATCTCTCTGTCACATACCGATATTTTCACGTCTGGAAAGCGTTTCTACAATTTAAACACTGATAACCTCATTTGAAGGGATAATATATCTCTAGGGTATATTTATTAATCAGCCCCTTCATCAGACTCTCTGACGAAGAGAGAGTCTGATTTCCTTATTGAAAATAGGGATAAATTTGCATTTTGGGGATAGGTAAAATGCGATACTGGAAACGGTTACGTCTCCTAAATGGCAGCTATTTCCTTTTTAGATTACGATCAGAAATCTCAGCTGTACCACTCGACGGCCCGAATAGGACCTCCGAGGCTGTAACACAGACGAACCACACCACGAATTTCTCTCTCTCCGTTGCCCAAAACAGCGAAGAGCTGAGATCCTATTCCCCCAAAACCGTGAAATTTGCCCCATGATTTTTTACAGAAGGATGATTTCTGTTCTGTTGCCTTCAACAGATGTCAACCCATTTAGTTCTGCGAAAAAGGATAAAAAAAAAAATCTCCCAACAAGAGAAAAAGATAAAGAAAATAAACCAAAAGTTTCAATAGCTTTTTCATTTCCCTGGGCATGCAAAGAAAAGAATATCTGACTCCAAATCTTTAGTAGTTTTACTCACTGGAAAGATACGAAAGGATTTCACCCGTAACTATTCTATGCACCTGAATACGATTATTATTAAAGTTGCTGCGGCTGGATGCATCGATGTTCATACAAGGTTCGGTTTAATTCTCTTTTTATTGCAGCTTCAGCGCAATAATGCGTTGGGTTTAACGGGGGCAATGGATGCTGCGCTGAAACCCCTCTGCAGCCCGTGTTTGAATAACAACGCGATGAATCTCCGTCTGCGACAGCTGAATAATACTAATAATTACTAATGCCTAACAGCAAGAAAGGGCACAACGTCATTTAAAAAAAAAAAAAAAAAAAAAAAAAAAAAAAGTCCGAACGGTTTTCCCGAGCGAAACGCAGCGCCCCGGGAGGGCCCGCCCTTCCCTTTCGGAGGGAGCAGGGGGCTCCCGACCAGCCCGGTCCCCACGGCGGGAGATCCGAAGTGGGGGGAAGGAGATGGAGGGTGGGAGGAGGGGGGGGGCGGGGGGGGGGGGGTTGTTTCTCATTAGCGTTTATTGCGGGGTGCATCTGCCGCCGGCCGCGGGGCCGTTTCGGCCCGGGAGCGGGGTGCGGCGCGGCGGGGGCTGGGACAGCGGACCCCCCCCCGCCCCCCCCTCGCCCTGCCGCCGCGGCGGGGGCCCCCCGGGAGGGCGGCGGGGCCGGGGCGGCGGGGCCGGGGCCGGGGCGGCGGGGCCGGGGCGGCGCTGATTGGGCTGCGGGCGGCCGGGCCGTCGGAGCCCCCGCCCCGCCGCTCCGCCCTGCCCCCGCCGCCGCAGTGACACTAATGAGCGAGTTCTTCCCACCGGTCTCCTGCCTGGAAGTGCTGACAGATCAAGGCAACAAATTTCAATTACAAGCCCTAATTTGTGTCCGCAGAGCGTTTGTTACCCATGTCAGTCCTGCCTGGCCCATCAGACGGGGCAGAACGTGGAGGAGGAGGAGGAGGAGGAGGAGGAGGAGGAGGAGGAGGGGGAGAGAAGGAGCGCATCTGCAGAAAGGAATAGATTTTTTTTTTTCCTCTCTTAAAAAAAAAAAAAAACAAAAAACCAACACCTCCCCCCCCCCAAAAAAAAAAAAAAAAAACCAACCCAAACTTGGCTGATAAGTCGGATTTAAAAAGAAAGGCGAGGAAAAGCCCTAGCCCCTTGCCTGCGCGGTCGGGAGGACGGGAGGGCGGCCGGCGCGGCGGGCCGGGCGCGGGTGCCGGTGGCCGCGGGGCGCCTGGATGCGCGGGCGGTAGCGGGGGGCGGGCATGGCCGACAAGCGGCGGTCCTCGCCCGGCACCACCATGAGCCTCAAGGCTCACGCCTTCTCCGTGGAGGCGCTCATCGGGGCCGAGAAGCAGCAGCAGCAGCAACAACAACACCAACAACACCAGCAGCAGCAGCAGCAGCAGCAGCCGCGGCAGCCCAAGCGGCGGAAGCTGGGCGGCGAGGACGAGGCGGCGGAGGACGAAGGGGGCAGCGGCTGCTGCGCCAAGAGCTCCCCCCCCGCCGCCGCCGCCGCCGCCGCCGCCGCCGCCAGGACCTGCGGCGACATGGAGCTGGGCTGCGCCGCCCGCGCCCCCGCCGGTGAGTGCCGCTCCGCGCCCCGCCGGACCGCTGCTCCGGCTCCCTCCTCCCTCCCGCCTTTCCCCCCCCGCAGCCGGCGCTCTGTTTCCCCGCTGTTCCTCCTGTCTTTCCACGCCGCGTGTTTCCCGCCTCGCCTCCCCGCCGGCGCTGCCCGGTGAAACCCGCGGGGCCGCAGCAGCTGCGGGCGCGTTTCCGAGGAGGGGTAAAAAGCGCTTATAGAGCTCTGCGCGAACCGCTAGAAGCGTGCACGCAGCTGCGTGTGTATATGCCTACGCCGCGCACACACACGCAGATATTTGTACGTAGCTATAGGCGCGTGGCTGTAATTTGCAGCCTCGGGACGGGAGCGCGCTTCCACGCTGCGGGGGCTGCGAGGTCACCCTCAACGCGCCCAAACGAAACGCGCCGCGGACCCGCCGCCCGCTTCGGCCCGGCCCGGCCCGGCCCGGCGCGGCCCGGCGGCTCGCCCCGGGACTGCGGGGCGGGGAGCCCCTCTAGCCGCCCGGCCCTCGGGTCGTTGTGTGTGTCCCGTCCCCCCCCCCCCCCCCCATCCCGTTGCCGGCGCGCAAGGCTGCGGCCCAGGCCCGGGCCCGGCGCCCTCGGCGGGTCGCGGGTGGGGCCGAGGGGGCGCCGCCGGTGCGGGGGTCCCCGCTTCCCGGCCCCGGCCCCTCTGGCTTCCTCCGCTCTCTCCGCAGGCGGCTGCGAGGAGGGCTTCCCGCCGGCCTCCCCGCCCGCCTCCCCCGGCGGCTCCCCGAAAGGCTCGAGGCCCGGCTCGCCGCTGCCCACGCCGCAGGCCCCGCGAGTGGAGCTGCAGGGCGCCGAACTCTGGAAGCGCTTCCACGAGATCGGCACCGAGATGATCATCACCAAGGCGGGAAGGTAACGGGGCGACCCGCGGGGGCCGCCGCCCCGGCTCTCCTCCCGGGGCGGGGGGGGGGGCACATCAAAGCGGGCAAAAAACAGGGGGAACCCCCACCCCCCCCACCCCCCACCCCCCAGATTTACGAGGCAGGTAGATGGCGATAATTTTAGGTGGGCACGGGAGCATGCGGCGTTTCGGGTTTCCCCTTCATTAGGGCGAGCGAGGTCTGGGAGCGCCGTCTCCTTCGGAGGGGAAACTTTTCCCCTTTCCAGTGGATACACATGGTAAAAACCTGGGTAGTATAAAAGTATCTGAACTTATTAGAAATTACAAAAACATATTTTATTGAATCCATATGCTACCTTCTGCATTTTCAGAGAGGCTTTATTAATGATTGAAACGCGGTCTTAAACGGCACAAAGCAACGTTTGTCTTAAGAGAGTCCAGTCGGGGATTTTCTGTTTTATCTTACAGGTGCACTGAAATAACAGAGAAAACTAGTTAACCGCAGTCAGGCTTACCCTCCTGCTTATTCAGAAATAACGGAGATAGGATTTTCCTTTCCAGTAACGACTTGTAATTGATTTTTTTAAAATATATGTATATATTTTTAGAACAGCAGCAAATACAGAATTAGCTGGAATGACTTTCAAGTTTATAAAATAGAGAAAAGTACCTTTCATTAGCTTGCAGTCAGCTCGTCACTAGGACGTTTCTTTTTTATTTTTCTTTTTGGCTGCAAGAATGAACTTTCTTCATAAAAGTCATACCAAACGTGAGTTAAGAAGTGCATTTTTGTGTTAAAACCACCTCATCGGTTAATTACTCCGTTTTCTCCGCAGAAGGATCTAAATCGTGAACTGTTTGTGGTGGTGGTATTTTTTTTTTTTTTTTTTTTTTTTGAAATTACCTTGTAGGTTCGTTTCTGCTTTCAATAAAGAAGTTTTACTATACCTTTCAAAGACAGAGTAGCTCTTGCACTTCACCTTTAGTAAGTTGCAGACAGGAAGTCCTGTCTCAATAAAGACCATATTGTTGGGTTACAGCATGGCACGTTGACTTTTATAACTGCATCCTTGCGGTGTTCTAATTGTATCACCGTGGATTTAACTTTCTCATTTGCTGCTACAGAAATGATACATCATTTGCTGCTGTCAGTTGAAACTTCAGTGGCAATTTGCATTCCTGTATCGGTCTTCCTGGGTGGACAGTGGTGTTTGCACATCTCCAGAAATGTATTTCTAGCTGATACCTCAAACGGGCTTTAAATGCATGTACTGCTAAAGTCAGGTCTCAAAACCAAATGATTTAGTGTCTAACAATAAAGTTGAAATGATGTGGTAATAGCTGTACTCCCAAAGCGTATCCCAAAACATACGAAGCATTGTTCAAGTAAATGCACTTTAGAAATCTGTTTTGACATATCGAATGGGCCATTTCATGGCTATGTAACTATAATCGTCCAAAAGGACTCTGTAGGCTAAAAGGAGGAACGAGAAAAATCCCACGAACCGGTTACTTTTCCTAAACAACCATTCCCGAGTCTGTTTCATATTAAACATGACCTCTCTCTTTCTGTGTTCAGGCGGATGTTTCCCGCAATGAGAGTGAAGATCTCAGGTTTAGACCCACATCAGCAGTATTATATTGCTATGGATATTGTGCCAGTGGATAACAAAAGATACAGGTATGGTGACTTTAAGGCAAAAAACATATGATGCAAGTCATAGGGGGCTTGGCTATTGGAAGAAAACATTAACACTATATAAATTAGCAGAATGTCGTGTTTAACTCTCCTTCAGATTCCTATTTTCATCCAGTGCCTTTTAAAAAAATAAATTGTGCCAAGTATGCAAAAACAACGAAAATTTCTGTTGAAGCTCTTTATATGTTTGCCTTATGTGCTGTGGGCAGATGCTCAGGTTTTGGCTTTCAGAGAGTGCAGTTCTAGTGCAGTCAGGAAGTGTTATCATATTTTATTCCTCATCATGTCAGTGGGAATTATTTCCTATTAACAAATAAATACGAAAATGCACATTTTTTTCTAGTGTTAAATGGCAGTAATATTAATAACATTAATAGCATTGATATCTGATTTAATGACACATAAGCTCTCTCATCCTTTAAACTGATGTGTGATTTAATATAAAAGCTGGTTATCACGCAGTTATTTGGTCGCTTAGATTCTTAAAGGGTAATGTTTCTAATTACTGTTTTTTAAAGAATTAATGGCATTATTATCTGGAGAATAATGCGAGGAACAGAAGTAGTTGTTCTTCAGATGTTTAAGAATAGGAGTTACGTGCTGAAACTCACTATTGCGAGGGCAGTTGCGTTTCAGGGGAGCCAGCTGAACTCTGCTGAAACCACTGGTCCTGCGGAAATGTTTTCAGGATCAGGCCCGCAGCAGTTATTCTTGTGAGTTGTAGACGTTTTTTAGGTCTTGCTTTATAGATGCAATCCCATGCTCCGTAGTAGCCGGGAGGAGCCTGGCCAGGCAGTTCAGGTCCTTACCAACTGCTGGTTTGGTTCTTTTGACCCTATACTTAGTATAATGTAGGGAAAACCGCTGCAGATTTAATTGTAGAACTAGGAATATTCCAGACTAAGACTAAAAGGTTGGTTCTGCAGGAATGCTGCCTTGTTTCCTAAGCAGACGCTGCCCTATGTTTTTTGCATGTCCTTACCTCACTGACTGCAATTTTGCCCTTTTCTCATGTGGCGTGTAAGGCATTTCTTAGGACCATTTTAGATTTTGTGGTTTTCAACAAGGTGCGGGTACCAGTGCTGAGGATGTCCAGTACATACAGTCAGGGGAAGCTTTTCTGACTGTACCATAGCGAAAAAATGCTTTTTTTATTTGGACCAGTGCAGTGCGGCTCAAATGAAAGCGGTTTTCTTGCTTTGTGTTGCATGTGTGCATTTACTTAGCAATCTAAGCATATTGTTCCTAGAAGGTCTGAGCAATTCCTTAATTCATAGAAAAAGCGAGGTAATTATTGCAAATGGAATAAAAATGTTAATACTAAAAATTAAACACAGTTGTATTGAATACGAGTTGTTTAAACCTCATTTCATTTAAAATAAATACAGTCGTAATGAGCTGTACTGTCTACCCAGTGTAATAGGTGATGCGCAGATAACTGAAGTAACAACAAAAGTTGTATGAAGGGCAGTATTTTCTTAGTTGGCAAACTTACATTTCTGTAATCATGTAATCACGCCTTTAACTTTCCTGCTAAATATTAATGTTTCACATGTTTTACTTGATTCCACTTTTCATTCTTTGCTGTGCAATCTATGATTTTTTTTGTCACTGCTGACATTTTAACTTTGGCTGTTGGTGTGTCTTTACAGACTGTCTTGCAGATCTTTAGATTTGAAAGATACAGCAGCACTCACATATGGAGTCTAGTCTTTGTCACAACAGATAGCAAAACTAAATGGAAACAAAGAAAATTACAGCTAGGTCTAGATTTCTAGCAAAATTGGACCTTGTAAATATTTGGAAGCTGAAGCTGTTGCTCAAAATATTTTCTGTGTATTTATGGCTTTATTTACTTCTGTAGGGAAAACATGTATTTAGTATAAACCAACAAATATAAAATAAATTAAAAATGTTACAACAATTGACTGTGTGATCTGGGGTCAAGAATTTATCTCCAGAAGAGATTTTCACTACCATTCTAGATCTTAGTTTTACAGCTTGATATGGATTGTACGGAGCGATGCATGTATTGGATCACTTTCATTTCCAATTATGTTGTTTGCCTTGCTCTAGTAAGGAACTGAATTGTACAGACAAATGATAATGTCTTTCTTGGTTTTGTTAAAAAATATAGCTGAATTACTGGCATTTTATTGTACTTGAAAAAAATACATTGAAGTTTTTAGTTAGTGCTTTTTAGATTGCCCTGTGAAATGTCTGCCTTCAAAATAAGTTTTCTACCAAAGGAGACACTATTTTTATTAGAAAATGACTCTGTCAGCATTGGCCTATCAAAAGAAATATGGGCTGTGTTTTTTCCATTTTTAAGGCTTTCTGCAATGCTATTCAAGAAAATTAATACGATCTTGCAGAAATAGCAAGAGCGTAGTTTGTCATAGTTTCATTATTTTTCCCAATCATAATGTTCTTTCCCTTCAATAGCTTTATTTATAGATGCTTACATTACACTCAAAATGTTAAATCTTCCAAATATGGAATTACTACTCAATTTGATAAATGAAGGGCTACGGTCTTCCCTGTTTGCTGATGCCTGATCAGAGCAGGGCTCTAGCAATCAATGAACTGACACGAGCTTGAAGCTCAGTGTAGATATGTGGATACTGGTGTTCAGGCTGTTGCTGATTTTAAGGCGGCTAAGGTCAGATCAGAGTGTGGATTTTAACCTTACTTTAAAAAATTAACATTTATTGTTCTTTAATGTTTTGTTAATTGGTGGGTTCTTGCTGTATGTATGGGCCTTAATTTATGAATACTGAATGGATCTGATAAATGATTTTGGGTTGGTTATGGGTATTTGTTTCCTTTTAATAGGTATGTTTATCATAGTTCCAAGTGGATGGTGGCTGGTAATGCTGACTCCCCAGTACCACCTCGTGTTTATATTCACCCCGATTCACCAGCCTCCGGGGAGACGTGGATGAGACAAGTGATCAGCTTCGACAAACTGAAGCTTACCAATAATGAGCTGGACGATCAAGGGCATGTAAGTACTTGCTCTTCTGTGGTATTATATGTAGACACATTGCTCAGTCCTGAAAGACTCTGACGTACAGCTTCAGGGTGCCAGAAATAGGCTTGACTTTTCAAACCTGTTTTGGAACTTTACTGTCCAGATCTAAAATCTGCTTGCTTTCTGTTCCGATAATTAACTGCTTATTAGAGCCTGCTGTTTTACTCCCCCCTCAAAAACAGAACTCCTTCTGCAAAGTAAGACTTTACAAGGCTAAATTGCCTAATACGAAGGGGCAGAATTGCTCTCATGTTTTCCCACCGAGTGCGTTACTTGCAACTTCTGCTCCGATCAAAAACGGCGCTTAAATTCACAAGTGGCTAGAAGAAACATTAATAGTGTGTAATAACTTCATGTGAATAAAAATACACTTAAGTATTTTCTTAACCTAAACATTTGTATGAAATCCCATGAGGTGTTAATAATTGCAGTCAAAAACGAACAACATGGGAGCTGGGTTTGCTCTGATAATGATTTATTACATACCTTATGAAGCAAGACCCTTTCACAGCTGAGGCTCATTACTTCTGAAAAAACTGGCGAAGACGTATGCAGTATGAGTGTTCTGTTTGCAAGTTCTAAATTGTTTAGTTATGACATTATCTAATGTGACAAAATGTGTTATGTTAATATTTCCTTTTCTCTTCAAAACTGTTGAAACATGACAGATGTAAGCCAGTATCTTTCCAGCTATCCCTAAAATAGTTTTACTTGACACCTTAGGAAATAATTAAAAAATGAGGATTGTTTTTAGTCAGGGTGAAGTCTTTAATTTTGCAGAATCCTGTAATAAATGGCAAATGCTGGCTTCCTTTCAGAAGGAGCACCGAGTTCCAAGTGGTAGAGTTTTAAGATGTTGGAGGCAAGTTTTGAGACAGGATGTGGATTCCATTGTCCTTAACATAGCCCAAGTTATTAACCAGGATACTTTCGCCTTCATGGAAGGGGAGTGAAAGAAAATGTACCTGGCACAGAGTACAAAGATACTATATGCATCTTTCAGTATCGTTGTAACTCTGTGACATTAAGCCAGGTATTTTGTCAATACATAGTCCAAGTTTAAGTATGAGATTTTTTTTTTTTTCCCCCTGTTTATACTTGCAAAGGAGGTTAACATGAGAGTCTGGTCAAATTGTGCAGGAGCTACAACTGTTGTGTTACAGAGTCAGGAGTACAGGAGACTGGCTGGACTGAGCCAGCGAATGTGGTAACAAGGGTAAAAAGCCTCCCTTCCATATAATACTATTCATAATTTTACCATGTTATTCCTTAAAAAGAATATGGGGGTATTCACATCTCTTAAGTTAGCAGTGCTTTTCTTCAGGCTTGTAAGAAAAATGTCTTATATCGCTTCTTTCCAGAATTACAGTTACGGGGTCTCATTTGGCAGTGCCTGTTTGAGTTAAGGTTAGCACACGTAGTTCCGTTAGTTTCCCCAGCATTCATGTATTTGCGACTCTTCTCGAGTGGGAATTGCTTTCTCTGAGTCCTGAGTCTCTTGGAAGGGCTTTAAAAAGTGAAGCAGATGCAGATGGGTAAAATGTCGCTTTTCCAACGGAGAGCAGGCCGGCTGGTTTTTGTACTCACTCATTTCAGAGGGGTGATACATGAGTACTGTGGTCCACCCGTGCACTTGCAGTCACAGACTGCCCTGTGATAAAATCTCGGCTATGTAGAGAAGTGTATTGCTGTATTTTTCCATCCCAGATCTTAGCTTTGTTTTTATTCTGAACTGGAACCTGTGTAGTGTACACAGCACACCATTATTCATAATGTGGGGGGATATAAATTTTCTGATCTTTAGTTAAGTGTTTCGATTTGAAAACTAGTGAAGCAAAGCCCTAGTGCAGTGATTTGAGACACATTGAACTGATTCAGAGCTATGGCAGCACCCCTCCTCCCCAAAATGGAAATTTAAGTATTAAAATAAAAGGACAAAAGAAGGATGACTGTAAAATAATTTCGTATTTCTCAAATCTGGGAAATTGCAAACATGTCATTCATAATTACCAGAAAAGGCAAAAGCAGAAAGCAGAAAAGTGTCTCTTCCAATGGGTACATTTTTTCTTTTAAAGCTATGGTAGTGTGGAATGCTGTATTGAAAAAGCTATGTAGCCTCTGAATGCCTCCAGCAATAATGGAAAACGAATAATCATATTTTGTGATGAATATAAAAAACAATTGTTTCTCATAAGCAGGAAGGAACCATATTTTTCAAGAGGGTACCAGGGGAGGGATGGGGGATTAGAAGAGCTAGGGGTCAAGGCCGTACTGTCCTTCGAGTATTTGTTTTTACACCAAGTGTTCTGATTCTCCCACTCCTGTATGGGAGATGGGGTATATTTCAGATTACTGGAAAGTTAGGGGTTTTTTCCCCTCCTTCTAAGGCAGAATGGCTCAGAGAAACTTTGGTGGGGTCTCTACGCTCTGCCATCATTCCTCGAGTAGTTCAAGTAGTGTTGGGCTTTAGCTGTTGTTCTTTGGGTCTGCTTTCTGTGCTGTCTTGTTCTGGGGCTTTAATCCATGTTGAAATTGTTCCTTTATTCTTCCTGTGCTCCTTAGAGGTGTAAGCTTTTGCAGAGTTTTTGTGTTAAAATCCCAGGGCTAGGTTTTGATCTTGGAGGTTTTGAGGTAGAGAGCTCCGTAAGATCAACTTGGAGCCCTTTTTACCTATTCCAGAGTATTAAGTCTCAGAATCAGTGAGAGGAGGGACAATGGGGACAGTATTTGCAAACAGATACTAAATAAGTATTCCTGTACAGTTATTTATATTGTGGTAGTAGTTCATGGCAGCCAGCTCCCCTTGCATTGCGTTGGCCTGGGATTAATTTCTTGTGAAAGGAGATCGGCCATCTCTTAAGACGACTTGCTCCACTGCTTGAGTGTTTTCTGGGCTGCTTGCTGCTATTTTCATCAGTATTCTGAGTGGGAGTTTGTGACGACGTAATTTTACAGTGCTGTTCTGAGGAGAGATTTTGAAGTACATCTGCACGTAGGACGCTCTCCGATACATGGGTTCCACTTGCAGGCTGAGGAGAGCAAGCAAAATTTGTAAGGCTATGATTTCCTTGTGTGTTTTTTGATCTCAAAAGGGAGTCCCAGGGTGAATTCCCTACTTTGGGAAGATTGTGTGCTTATAGAGGCATTAAGGCCTGATGGCATCATTAAGACTCACATACTTTGGCGTTTGTGTCTTTCATCTGAGTTGTAAGGAAAAGTAAACCTGCATTTTGCAGTTGACACTGAGAAGTGCATCGTCTGGCTGCTCTTTGTTAATGCCTCTCATTCCTCTCATCTGTGGAGTAAGTGCTGCATTGTAAAAGCAGTTTCCCCCTCCAGCTGGTTAGAGCTGGCTGATTTTTCTATTTTGAATCAGTTTGTAATCTGAATTTCAGTAGAAGGGAAAAGTCAATATTTTTGATGCTATTTCTATGCTTTTCAACTGAGTATTTTTTGATGCAGAGGAACATCTTTTAACTTTTAGTGAAAATGAGGCTGTTAGCGTGTTAATTGTTCCTTGGTGGTTGTTTTTTTTTTTTCCCCATTTGAAAAGTGGGGTGAGGCTGGAAGTGGAGGCGGAGTGTTACTCTGCCCAGACTTGGCTCCGAGTAGCAAGCTCTGCTTACAGTCAATGGGTAGTTATATGCTCTTGTCACAGTGAAAAGCTGGGAAATATCAGCATTTGCACTTGCAATTTTTGTCTTTGTGAAGAGGGAATCTATGCTTCTTGGCCCCCCGCACTTCCCTGACTGCAGAAAGCCCAAACACATGGACTTTGCAGGGAGGAGAAAGGAGGATTTTTGGCAAAAACAGCAGCAAGGTGAGGACCGTGCTGCTGGTGGGGAGACGAGTGTGTTGTCTGTGCACCACCGAGCTGCCAGAGCATTGGCATCTCCCCCACAAAAGGGTACGGGGCTCCTGTGTGTTCTGGCTGTGATGGTTGTGCCACGGTGGTGCCCAAGCTCATGGTCAGCTCTGAGGCCTCATCACAGCAGCATCTCTCAAAAGGCATATTACAAAGGTAATCCCAGCTCTGTGTGTCTGCAGGTACTTTAGCCAACTTTGCTCTGTCAGGCTGTTGCAATTTATTCCCCTACAAAGTATTTTGGTCCTGTCCTTTGAGGGATTTGTAGAGAGAGGTTCCAAACTTGTTCTGGTTGGGGTTTTGGATTGTTGGCTTTTAAGGGTACGAAGGGAGAGTCACTGTTTCTTCAGATAAACTGTTAGATTCTATTTGTGCTGTTAAATTTGCAAGCACTGCGTAATGAAAAGCCAGAATCTCATTTTCCTTAGCTTTTTCTTCACAGTAACTTTAGGTGATACTTGGAATAATAGAGCTAAATGGTTTTCAGAATGGGTGTTGTATATCCTTCTCCTTCTATGTCCTGTTTTCATAGTGTTGCTCTTCAATTCACCAGGGCTCTGCAGTTATGTAGTATTTATTTAGAACTCAGAGTCCTGATCATTAACAAAGATCCCATTGTACAAAGTACGGTACAAAATCAAGAAAAAGCAAAATCCTTGCTATGAATTTGCTGATCGTGTCAGCGCAGGCAATTTCAGTATAGCACAGAGCCAAGCCAGGTTGCTCTTAAGAGATGACAAGGATCAGTTAGCTGTAATAGCCACCCAGATAAGGAGTGGGAGGTGTTCATCTCCATGTTGCTGTGACTTCACTTGTTCTGATACATGAGCAGAGCTGCTTGTGGCTGCCTGGGTTAGCATTGCGTACGATCGAGTCCACGGTGTAGGCAGGAGGTGGTTTGCACCGCCGAGCTGATGGGGTGATCAGGGTGGGAGCGGAACATGGCACGCGCAGGGGCACCCAGGCAAATGGCAAGGTGCACAATAGTGATGGGTTTGAACAGTGAAACAGAGCTTTCCTTGGTCATTTTTTTTGTTACACCAGTACCTCCTCTGGTATCACTGGGTGTTCACAGGAAAACGGGGTCAGGAATGTGCTGTCCTCTCTACATTTTCATTTTGTAGATCTTTGCCAGGGGAGAACCGAAAAGAGTGTTGTGAAAGAGGATACACGCTTGCCTGATAAAAATCTTGCTCTGTGCAAGATTTCAGAAACTGGGAAAAGACTTCATATGAGAGCATCCATAGGGCACTCCCCGAGCAAATTAATTGGAGCTTGTGATGTCATTGTCAAAACTTTACTTGCAGGCTAATAAAAGCCCTGATTATCCAGAAACTTGGCTTATCCAAAATGGGGTCATGTCATCTGGCCAGGACCAAGGGTATTAAACTAGCCAAACTGTAGTTTATCCAAATGAATGTAATGTCCTCTATGTCATTTGGATGAATGAACTTCCACGGTGTCTGGCACAGGGGCTCGGTCAAGTGCCTGAGCACATGCACATTCTGAGGCTACTCAAGGAGCAGGAAATTAAAAAGCTTCCCCTGAATGTTGATTAGGGGTTCCACAGGCCAGTAGCCATAGGACTATTTATTTATTGAGTTACTAATTTCTTAGGCCTTCCAACAATAATAGTTGAGCTTCCAATTATTTATTTTCTTGAAATCTTATATTTTAGTAGTGGTTAGCTGAAGTGGAGTAAAATAGAGGGAAAATTCTGTATTTTAAATCTTTAAAATCTGGAAGCAGTACCAAGAGGTATTTTTGTGTTTAATTGTAGGCACTATGAATTCATATACTACTTGTTTATTCTTAATTGAGCTTTTGTATGCTAGGAGGGGTTTGTATATTGATATTATTTATATATATTATAAATGTAGGGTTATTAACACTTTAGAGTTTGGGATTTTGGTATTACATTACTCTTAAGTTTTTGCTTTTTTGGAGTGTGAGAGTCTCAGTTTGTGGTCAAAACAAGGTATGTTTCCAGCCCTCAGGATATCAGGAAAAAAATTGCTCCAAACATATCCTGAAGGTTCCAAAAACAAAAGGCAGATGCTGCTGCTGCTGTTTATTTTGTTAGATCAAATCCAGGCTCCAGTGGAAAAAAAAGTGACAAAACTTCCCTAATTCCAGTGGGACCAGGACTTCAATCCTGATTTTTTTTTTTTTTTTTTTTTTTTTTTTTTGAGCCAGTATCTGAATTTGGAGCTTGTGAGTTGTAATCTAAATGCAATAGCATAAATGCACAGGGATTAGACTACTGTAATAAGAGTCTTCAGAGGTTAAAGAAAACATTTGATTTCCAGTAAGTGGCATGGTAAACACATACCATAATCTGTTCCAAAAAGCTATTAGTCCTGAAACGGCAGGGTGTCCTTTCTAATAAATGTTATCTTTTTCCTTCATGACTGCATAGATTATCCTTCACTCTATGCATAAATATCAGCCTCGTGTCCACGTCATCCGAAAAGACTGTGGAGATGATCTGTCACCCGTCAAGCCTATCCCTTCAGGAGAAGGGGTGAAAGCCTTCTCCTTTCCAGAGACAGTTTTCACAACTGTCACAGCATACCAAAATCAACAGGTAACTTGGGCTTTCTGCTTAGTACTTTACAGGCTTTTCAGAGTAGACAGGGAAGTCAGAGATGGGAGAAAAGTGGATACTTTGATTATACCCCTTATTAAAAAGCACTGTCTAAACCCTTTTCATATTACAAGTAGATTTCACTAGTAGTATTGCAGCTGCGCCTAGGGGCTACAGCTGAGACTTTAGGCCATGTGGGCTGGATGCTGCATGTAAAAAGTCATTCTTATTTTGGAGATCACACAGTCTAATTAGCAATGTTAATGGCATCTGAATTATAAATACACCATTGAAACACAAAGCAAAGAGGAGTCTAATTTTTAAAGGTGGTTTTGTAACTTTAAGTGTAGATACATGTATGGATAGAATTTTTAAAGCACTTTTATTCCTGACTCCAGTGATTTCAAAACTCCCAGGACCTTAACAGAGAAGTTGAGGTCTGAAGAAAGTTGCAGTCATTTTCGTTTACCGCATTCAACATATATTATTAACTGCAATTTTTCTGGGTCCACACAGATTCAAAGTCAAAAAGTAAGAGCAGGCTGTGTGATTCCAGTGTTTGGCTCTTATTACCACTTCTTAAGTATTAATATACATAGTGACATCATAGTGTTGTGACATTTTATTAATTCCAGGTAAATTACTGCAGCTATATTTTGGGAAATTATATATGCCTTGCTATCTTTACAAAGAGAAGAGCAGGAGAGCCATGTAAATACTGAAATATAATTATTTGGTGCGTATCCCATTTATTTAAATAAATTAGAAGTATTTAGTGGGGATTTCTGTTTTTTTTTTTTTTTTTTACAGAAGACAATAGCCTAGAGATAATCCCTCTTTTCACATTTCCTTCTTGACCCGTACAGAAATAAAATTTAATTTAAATTTTATTGCAGTTAGGCAGTATACTCTCTTAGGTGAAGAATGACATTTGCCAGAAAATTTTTCTCAAGAATTCCAACCTGCCATTTGGTAGCATCAAATACCTACTAGCTTCTCTGGGGATTTGCAAAAATAATGATCAGAAGGCTGGCCCATGTTTTGCTGTGTTTCAGGATGACTATCTTAAACAATACAAATGCGAAGATGTTTCTGCTCCACTGTTGGCTTAATTCTGTCAGGAGAGTCATGCTATGTGTTACTTAGCTGAATTTGCAGGTAATAATTTCTCTAATCATATTCACAGATAACTCGTCTGAAGATTGACAGGAATCCATTTGCCAAAGGCTTTAGAGATTCGGGACGTAACAGGTAGGTGTTGGAGAAGGAGGTGGGCTTGTTACTACTTATGGAATTGATTTTGTGAAGGTTGGTCGAAGGGAATACTTATATTTACAGACAGATTAGTCTGAGGACTCAGACTCCTTGAGGGGGCACTTTCCCAGTAAGGTTCTCTGTGGTGGGCTCCTGTTCCTATTCCTCTGACCATCTAGGTCTAGAACGGGTTGGCACTCGGCTTGACTCATGTACTCAAGTTTCATTTTGGTGGAAGCAGCAGCATACCGTGAAGGCTTCAAATGGAATTAATGCATACTGAGGTCTGTGATTTCAGACTGCTCCTGAAATCTCTTTCTGCTGGCTGGAGACACAAATTGCAGATACCAGTGTCAAACTATAAGCCCAGGTTCTTTTGCATGTAAGTGGCACTTAGTATGGATTAATGGCTCATTGTTTTCTCTTAAAGGGGGAGAAACTACGTGGCCTAGTGTAGCAACCTTATGTCTGGTACACTTGCCTAGGAGGTGGGAGACCTGGGTTCAAGTGTCTCTTTAGCCTAAGGAGTTTTAAATCCACTTCTTGGGTGAATGCTTTTCCTACTAGGCTATAGATAACCTTGAAATGAGTCTGGTTTCCACCTCTTCTGTTGCGGTTGGACTGATTAATTGCTTGTTCTGTCTTCATCCATGAATCTTGCAAAATAACAGTGAGGAATCTGAGTAGTGCAAAGTGGAGGCGTAGGTCTAGGCCTTGCTACCAGTACTGATGAAGTATTTTATCCAAAGACTGTTTAATGCAAAATACTTAAGCCTGTTATGAATTGTATGTTAAACCATTTCAGCTAAAAAAGCAGCATTTAATTGGTGCGTATTCTACATCGGTTCCGGTGACCACATTGCGTTTGGTGTCTACAGCTGCTATATTTATGACCTAGCCTTTCAGAGAAGGGAGCAGTGTGTGCTAGTAGGAATGCTCAGAGAGTATCTTCTGGTAGCTGCTTTATTCAGCTTTTCTTTTAGCAGAGGCTACAGCATTAAAGCCTGCTTTGTGCTTCTACCGCAGTTACATAAATGCTGAGACTGGAGAGCAAACAAGAGTAGTTTTGAGAAGATGAACAGTTACAGAAGGGATGGGGTAGTTGTAAGGATTTACAGGAATTCACTGCATCTTTTCAGTTTATGCTCTGTATTTGCTGCCTCCTAAGATTTTTGTCTTCTAGCAAGAGACAATTGGCCATGCTCTGTCCTGGGGCCTGGAAGGCATGCCCCAGGCACCTCCATAAATAGAGTTTTGTCCTTTGTGGCCTTCTAGTTTGAAATTAAGTGAACGGTAACTTCCAGATGAATGCAGTGACTGAAGAAGCAAAACATGCCTTGTGTACTTGGAGGAGAAAAGAGTTGCCATACATGCCCTATTTGACAGCTCTCCATAGGCTGTGTCTCTTCTATGCATAACTTTTGCAGAGCTATAAAATAAGTACTAAGGAGCCTCCTAAGAAGTGTGAAACCCTGACTCCTCTGAATTTTCTGAGTTTAAGTGGTGTTAGAATTTCTTCCATAATGTTATATGAAACAAGAGAAGATGCCCTTGAAAATAGAGAGGAAAAAATTGTTCAGAAACCAGTTTTGAACTGGATTTAATGTGATGGGACAGCCCTGGTATTACCCGAGGACAATATAGGTGCAGTGAGATTACTGCATCTGCAACCATGCAAATCCAGTTGTAGGACTGGGGATAGGCAGAGAGGTTTTGGGTTTGGCTTCTAGGAGTAAGTTTGGTTCGAGCATTTGAAAAAAAGCAGGATATTTTAATTGAAAGACAGTTATAGTTTATGGAAATGGATTAGGAGGCCAGTCCTGTAGGAGGGACCAGCCTCTGGGAAGTATTTTGGAACTGGCTTTAGATGAGGTCTGAATTCTTTTACTGTAACAAAAACAGTCATTACAGAACTGACTCTGCAAACTCTTTTCTATTGCAGATAGGTTTGCTGAAGTCAGTATTGCTGTTTTGTTTGATAGGCTCTGTGGTACTGAATAAGTGTTTTTGGGAATCCAGCTCAGATTTTTAATTATTGAGGAGAAATTAGTTTTTAATTTAAATTCCTGGTTTACTCAGTTGGCTATTAATTTACTCTGTTGCTAAATACTGAAATTAAATGTTAAGATTCTGTTATCTTCATTGTTCTAGCTGTTGTATTTGTCACCGAGGCATTTTAGTCTGCAACAAAAGTATAAAAAAATCACCGTTGTACCTTTATATTCAGCTTTTTAATATTGCTTTAATTATTATATCTATCTTACTCTGCAATGCTGGATGCAGTAATTCTGATTAATTAAAAATATTCCCTTTCAGGTCATTCCCGTTCAGTCCCACAGGCTATTTTACAGAAATCAGTAGCTTCACCTTTTAAAAGCATTCCCTGTGCATTTGCAAAGTGCAACAGAATTTATGTGCCGAGAATAGTTTCATTCTTCAGTTAGGCCTTAGGTTTGACCCTATAAAAACTTTTACTCAGGAAAGGCCCAGAATTTCTCCCTTTAAATACTTCAGGAAAAACATAACTGTTTTGTTAAATAAACTTGGCCATTTGATAGCGTAAATTAGGGTGGTGATAAAATGTGGAAATTGTTCGAAGGCATCTTGTATAAATTATCGCCTTGGCTGCACTCCTCCAGGAGGTGGCTTTTATCTCTGCCTTAACTAGAAATGAAAATTCACCATTACTGCAGAAAATGAAAGCTATCTTTTTAGTCCAGGTTTAGCTAATAAATACTTTATAAATGTTTCCTGGCATACATTTGTGATCCTGCTGGAAATGCAATGGGGAAGAAGCAGTATCAGAAGAACATGTTGGTAGCTTCAAATTGGGCTATTTGCATAATTTGAGTTTACGGAGCACTGCTGCTCAAAGGCAAGCACTTGTATTTGGTGTGTGCCTGCTGCTCACACTTAACAGGCCTTTAGGGCCCAGCAGCCAAAAGTAACAGCAAAATTATAGCTCTGAGGTGCATTATTCATAAAGATATGTCAGAACACAAATGAGCCTTTATGTTCAGGAAATAGAGATTCATCTAAATACTGTCTGCCACAGTTGTCTACCCAGTTACTTCTATTTTGTCATGACACTGTTGAAATAAAGTGACAAGGTTTTTAGTTTCTAAAGGCATTTTGCTCAGCACATAATAACCAAGACACAACATTGCTTTATACATTTTAGTAGCAAAAGAGCTGTATGCCCATGCCTTGCTCATGTTGTAAGCATGATTTTCCAACTCATCAGTAATGACAAGCAATCCTGTTTTAATAGAAATTGTCAGTGGATCACCTTTGTTCTAAGCAGAAATAGGAGATCATCCATGTGGCAGTTAGAGCAGTTGCTCTTAAGAAAATGGCATAGTAGCAAAACATTTAACACCACTTTAGCCAAGTCTACCTCCTCAACCCTCCCCAAAAGGCCAAAACTATTAAAATAGAGAGGCAGACTTGTTTAATTGTGAAACTTTTTTCATGCTACCAGCCCAGTGGCTGCATATCAGAGTGATCTCATAGACAAGGATGTAAGGCTCTTTTTCTAGAAAGCAAAATGAATTTCAAAATACTCCTGTAACATTACTAATTTTTATATATTTCTGATGTAAACTATCCAAAGACATGTGACAGAGTACAGCTTGCATTTGTGACACCACGATGTTTTTGTTCTAAATAGAATGGGACTGGAAGCTCTGGTAGAGTCTTATGCCTTCTGGAGACCTTCACTGAGGACACTTACATTTGAAGATATACCTGGGATACCCAAACAAGGTAACTGTCTTCTTTGTGTTCTTTCAAAACAAAAATGCATGAAGATTAAGTTTTGCCCATCATGTCTTGCAAAAGTCTAGGTAAGCATGTCACAGAGAAAAATCAACCAACCAACCCCAGTGCAGGCCATCACCTCTCATTACAGTTATTCTAAGTTAGAAAATTAATGCTAACTTAACCATTGTGGCAATAAAAATGTTAGGTTGTAAAGATAAATCAGATCACATGTGGAAGAGAATGACAGTTATTTAAGGATGCAGTAACCTATGACTTATCATTATGCTCTGGCTAGATACACAAGGTAGAGATCATTTATAGATGACTTGCATTGTACCTGTCCAAACTCTAGTGTAGGAATTGTGTGTTTAAGAGGAAAAAAAAAAATGAGAGAAGAAATGTCCTCTTAAGTAATGAATAAATAGTAGCAAGCTTGAGTTTCTTCCTTGGAAAGCCTTCTCAATTCTTAAAGACCTAAAAATTGTTCAGTAAAAGTCCCAACAAACTCTGTCTGCATCCTAGAGCTTGAAAAAACAGACCACTTCTCCATTTTGTTTTTTCCTGCTCCCCAGTCTGTAACCTCTTGGTTCCACTTTCCCCGTTGTACAGGTAGTGCTGTGAGGCAGAGATAATTAAATGGCCTGTTTGGACAGAGGGGAGTCTCTGTACTCTTTCCCGAGTTCCTTTATTTCCAAAGTACCCCAATGCCTATAGAAAACTTCTCAGACTTTTCCCAACTGAATCAGACCTACTGTTCCTGATTCTTTACAGTTCCTGCTATCAAATTTACAAACATCCTGCCTGTTTTCTTGATAATGTATTGCAAAGTCATTAAGCGTCTTCAGAGCAAAAATCCAGAAAATACAGAAATACACAGAAATCCCTTTTGTCAACTTTTCCTTAGCCCAAACCTTTGAGAGATCTTGAGCATCAGTGCTTGATGTGGGCAATTAAAGGAGTTTTTCTTCCAAATCATAGGTACATTGGATGAGGTTTGGCAGAGTTTTGGGCAGAGCGTGGAGGTGAGGGTTGGTCTTCATAAAAAAGGCCTGGAATGAGAAGTCGGCATCGGACCTGAAATGCCTTGTCAGACCACATAAGACTGAAAGGCAACTCACTGTGAAGTTAATCTGTCTGGGAGACAGACCAGCTGTATCGCCCTGTTTGAGAGCAGCACTGTTTGAGAGCAGGGGAACTGCTGCCATGAACTTTCCGCTTCTTTTTCTGCTCTTGCCTGAGGTTAAGGAGCTTGTTGAAGTTACTGTTGATGTTCAGATGATGGGAACTGGGATCCTTGCAAAATCTTTAGTCATCTATACCTTGGACAATAGGGTGGTTTAGAGACTGGCTGATAGACCCCATTAGAAATTTGTCCTGGTTGTTAATTCTGGAAGTGCCCATCTTCAGATAATGGAGGTGTTGATGTAGATTGAAAGAAAAATAAGTATACCTTACACCAGGATATCTGGAATGTGACAGTGTCTCATGGTGCTTTGAGCTTGTGGTGTCTTGTCAACAGAGCAAGAATCAGCAGGCAGAGTTCTCTAATAATATATTTTTCTTTTTACTAGCTCACCTACCACAGAAACCTGTTAACTTACTGACAGCACTGTGAAAGGCCCAAATTATTTTTTCTATGCTTGTTTTCTGGGGAGATACAGTCTCTAAGAAAAGGAAGTCTTTCTTGCAGCTGGGAAACTTTCAGTCCTGAGAAAAGGCTTCACCTGTAGCAAGCAGTGTCTTTTCAGGAGCATTCAGCACTGGTATTTGTCATGTAAAAAGTTCCAATATCAGTAAATGAACAGTTTGCAAACAATTGGCTGCAAACCTAGACCTCCATCTACCTATTCAAGAAATGAAGCAGCTATGCACAGTAGTCAGCCTACACTTTTCCTGAAGTTGTTCTGAAGTTTTGTTCTCAAGTTTTTTTGGTTTGAAGTTGGAAGTTTTTTGTTCTCAAGTTTTGTTCTGAAAGTTTGTTCTCATGTTGTGAACTTTCCTGAAGCTGTTGAACTGTGGAAGCCTCTATCGTTTGAGCTAAGTAGCCGGTTCCTCAGCTGGTGCTCTGACAGTGACAGTCAGGCACAGAGTGCTTGAAGCACGCTCTGGAGTATAGCAAGAGCATAGACAACACAAAATTCGTTGTTTTGAAGGTGGCATCCTGTGATGCGGTACTCGGCTACATCTTAGCTGCCATGCAATTTCCTTCCAGTGTCAAAGAGCAGTTAGCCTTTTGGGCAGGAGCTCTAAGTATTGATTGCAAAAGCATAACTTACTTTCTGTTTCTTGGTCAGGTTGTTTCTTTAAAAGTGTGCGTGTGCCATACACTCAACCCCTCACCCTCCACTAATGTATGAACAACATTTTTTGAATTAATTTGGGTCATGCTTCATGCCAAGGGTTATTATAAAAGACAGAGGTCTTGATCTGTCAGCTAGGAAGTGAACTTTTCCCCATGTGCTTCTTACACTGTAATATTCTCTTCCAGGAAATGCAGGTTCCTCTACTTTACTCCAGGGATCTGGCAGTGGAGTGCCATCTACCCACCCTCACCTCTTGCCGGGTTCCCCTTGCTCATCTCCAGCCTTCCACCTCAGTCCCAACACTAGCCAGCTCTGTAGCCTTGCTCCAGCTGACTACACAGCTTGTGCCCGCTCAGGTTTGACCCTGAACAGATACAGCACTTCTTTGGCTGAAACCTACAACAGGCTCACAAACCAAACCAGCGAGACGTTTGCACCCCCGAGGACTCCCTCCTATGTCGGTGTGTCGAGTAGCACAACTGTGAATATGTCAATGAGTGGCAATGATGGGGATGCATTCAGCTGCCCGCAGACTGGCTTGTCCATGCAGATTTCAGGGATGTCTCCACAGCTCCAGTACATCATGCCATCCCCATCCAGCAATGCCTTTACCACTAACCAAACCCACCAAGGCTCCTACAACACGTTTAGACTGCACAGTCCCTGTGCGCTCTATGGATATAACTTTTCGACATCCCCTAAACTGGCTGCCAGTCCTGAGAAAATCGTTTCTTCCCAAGGAAGTTTCTTGGGGTCCTCGCCAAGTGGAACCATGACGGATCGGCAGATGTTGCCCCCCGTGGAAGGAGTGCACTTACTTAGCAGTGGGGGGCAGCAGAATTTCTTTGACTCTAGGACCCTAGGAAGCTTAACACTCTCATCTTCTCAAGTGTCTGCACATATGGTTTGATGAAGCCTTTAAGTAAAAGTACAGTATGTTTGGTGTCTACAATGTATTTCTTTTGGAATATGAAAGGACACTCGATGTAGCTTGTAAAGTGTGTGTATATATAATATGAGAGGAAGTTTCACTGAATTTTTGACTTGCTTGTGGCCAGATTATTCTCCTATTTTGAGTTACACAGAGTTTGCAGCAGCGCAGACTGCTTTAGTTTTCTGGTATAATACACTTAGTTGTACAACACTTTGGGACATATGCAACAAATTAAGTAAGACTTCCTCCCCTTTCCCCCTCCTCTGTTCTAACCCCTTTAAAGAATGAAATGACACTTGGAGTATTAAACAACACAAACAAGCCCACTTACATTTCCTATAGTACTAGTGAGTTTTTTTAAAACATTCATACAATGATAAGCTGATGCACCAGAGGCATTTTACAAGTTTCTTCTCTGTTATAAGGGATATGAAGGGTATTTGGACTTTTAAGTGTTAAGCATCAAGAATCCAGCCTAAAATAGAAGTTTAGCTAATGGATTATTTATGAAGTAAACAGAAAGATTAGTTTGCCTTCTCGTGATATGCTGGTTTTAGCTTATCAATGGCACAGCGTTCTCACTAGGATTTTTTTTTTTTTTTTTTTTTTTTTTATTTCAGCATTAATTTAGATTTATGATTAGGTATTTGAAGACAAACAATGCATATTGGAATTGTGGTGATAGGAGTAATTTAAACTAACAGCAGAAGAAGCAGTACTCCTTGGTACAGAATGAACTTTGGAGTGCTTAATTTCTGTCAGAGGAAGGGCTTGATGCATTTTTTTCCTCCATAAATATTGCCTGTAAGACATTTACTGGACAGTAGGATATTCTAATGTATCTTTGTTTTTGTATTTTTACTTTTTTAAAGGAAAATGCAGGTTTGATTTAGGGAAAAAAAAAAAAAAAAAAAAAAAGGCTAGCAGGATGAAAAATTCCATTATTGGTTTTACCCGTTTGTGTGTGTTGTGTTTTGGGTTTGGAGTTTTTTTTTTGTTTTTAATAAGGGCAAAAAGTCCACCATTCTCAGTATCTCATAAATACAGTGCCTGTATCAATTAGGCAGATGACCCAGTTTGCCCGCAGATGTTTCTGGAAGCAGAACTTCATTGTAGCTGCCTCCCTGCTGCTCTGTTTCTCAGTCAGTTATTGCCCTGGAATTGGAGAGGTTCCCTTCATTCCCAGCTCTGGTTTTAAATGGCACTTGTAAGAATGCAGGTCGCAACCTGCTCCCGAACAGGCTTCCCCAGAGTGACAAGGACACAGGGAGACACTTGGCGTGGTGAAATTCCTGCCCTCACCTGCACCTGCACAGCCCCGGTGCGCATCAGTCCTGCTGCGAAAGCTGCCTCTCTGAGCAGCAGAGGTTGTGGAACAGATGTTAATGCTCAAGAGAACGGGTGGTCTTCAACAGTATGCTAAGCCTCCTATATATTGTGCAGGTGATGTAAAAGCATTATAAAGTGGGTACAAATGTGGTTGAAAATGCTTCCCTGGTCAGCATTGAAGGAGAATAAGGCCTTGCAGATTTTACATTTTTCTCTGTTAGATTTTTTTGGTGAAGTTGGATTGTTGTGTTTCTCAAGTGTTCCTGTGTCTTTTCTGGCGAACAGTGGACTTAACCACTCCCACTTTAAGAAAGACTCAGTGCAGCTAATATTTCTTCAGTGGGGCAGAGATAATGCATGCAGAAACAGCCCTCTCACTATCTCCTCTTATTATTTGGGAATAGAAGAGAAACCACAGCAGTCTTTAAGCCTGTGCCTGCAGAAGGCTTTATTTCTATTAGTTCCATATTTGTTTATGTTAAAGAAGACATGTAGAAATATCTCATTCAAAGCCGGAAAGATAGGAGGATGCAATTGAGGAGATGTGGGTTTGCTTCTTTGCCGTATCAAACTTCCCAAGTGACCTTGGGTAATTTACTCAGCCTCTCTGTATCTAATTTTTTTTTTTCCTTCTGTAAAATGTCATAATAGCACTTCTCTGCCTCACAGGAAACAGTGACAGTACATTGAAAATGAAAATCATCTTTACATCTGCTGTGGACAGTACCTTACGGATGAATGGCTAGGTCGTGTTCATATATGAGGATAACAAAGAGCATTTGTGTACTTCAGGTCTGTCTCTAGTTTTGGCCTTGTAGTGTCCTTTGAGGCAGACCTCTTAGCAAAAACCTGCAATGCTAAAAAGACTATTCAGAAACCTCACACTAATGATATGTGAAGTGGTTCTAAGGTATGTAGGAGATGGGCAAATTTTCAGTTATGTAAATTGTCATAGCTCTGTTGGTTTAAATTAACAGGAAACTTGTGTATAGTGATTCCTGCTCTAGCCAAATGTTGCAGTTGGGCAAATCTTTAAATGGGAAGAATGGTACAATTCATCTTTTTCAGTTATTCTGTAATTAATTGAACAAGGATAAAGATAATTATCAATGTCATCTTAAGGGCTGTGACTAAGTAGAAATGTGGAAGAGCTAAATCATGCGTGTTCCTACAAGGGGAAGAAAATGGGTTGTGCATGGATGTTCATGGAGGTGTTCCTGGCAAGAGTATGTACTTTATCGTCTGGGAATTTTTTAGAACTGGTCTCTTATTTTTCCTCAAATTATTCTTATCATATAACCACACAATATTGTTTGAAACATTTGTTCCTTAAAATTTGAGTCATATTGTAAATACTTACTGGTGTGTCATTGTGAAAAGACTAGCTTTTTATCAATATAGTAAATGCTCTATATGCATTATATCTATAATTCTATATCTGTATTTTACAAAAATGCCACAGAAAATATATTAAAGTGTGTATTCAAACACTTTTTACTACATTTGGAAAATTGAGGGAGTTGGGCCTTTTTTTTTTCCCTCTACAACTTCAGCAAGACCAAAGGAAGTGACTCTAAGGTAAGCTCTGAAATTCAAAGACTTAATACAACAAGCGGCAACAATCCAACTAGTTCACAATTCTTACATGGTTCACTTTAACCAACTGCTGTTGAACCTGTCTGTTATTTGTGTGCAACAGTCACAACAGATGTTGGGTACAAGGCGATGCTGAGGCTTCCAGCAGAACTGTGAGGTTTTTGTGTGAGAAAAAGGGACCGAGCAGCTTGCCGGCTTCATTAGCCAGTGACGGAGCTTTGCTGGTTCCTCGTAGCTCAGGTCATGCCAGCTGCCAGGACCAGTTCAGCTGCCCCAGAGCAGCCAGATCTGGGAAGCTGGCATTTCCATGTGACCAGGTGCTTGAGCAGGAGCTTGGTACCCTGTGTTTGTGCTCTTTGGCCATTCCCTCTCTGTTCTGCTTATTCTAAATGCAAAAATCTATTGATTCTTAAGGCACAATTTACAACCTATAAGCAGCTGGACATACTGTTACTCAGCAATGAGCAACATTTCTACCCCTAGAAATACTGCTATGCGTGGTGGCCTTACTTGCTATTGTACTGTAATAAATGATTCCATGTGATGTAGGGCACAGGGCCTGAAAATCTGATTACTTTAGAGACTAGGGTTTCGTAGTCACTTAACACCAGCATTGTTGCAAATGACCAGAATTAGGGCAAGAGAAGTAGGCATGAAATCCTTGATCATAAATATCAGGCCTCGAGAGAGAATGAGAGCTTCTGTTTTTAATAAGAGAAGAAGCCTTTTCTGGAATAGCACAGTCGGACTCTGAAAGGGCTCATTTCTGCTTCAGCAGAAGACAACAGGAGAAACTTTAAAATCATGGACAGTGTTGGCATTAAGTCTGCACCATGAGCAGTTAAACAGGAGGAATTTAAATCATCATCAGAAGTAGCTCACAGGTTCTGTGGAAATGTTTTTTCTGTAAAGATAACTAGTTAGTCTGTATAGTAGTGTGTTTAAAAAGGCTGAAGAGTAGCTACTCTCAGAGGTTTATGTGCCAGCTTCACTGAAGAAATTACTATTTGGTTGCACTTTTCTGAATATGCTGTCAAACTCGCATGGTATTAATGTTTAAGTTTACTTCGAAGTCCAAGTTTTAATAACTGCAATTTATCATAATGAGGTAATGGTTAGTCTGTGGGCTGACTGTACTTCAGCTGACAAAATACATTGGCTTCTCAGCTGAACTCTTCATTAATGTGATCTTCAGATTCAATATTCTGCCTTGTGTTTAACACAAAGTTGTTGATATGTCAATTTAATATATGCAAAACTGCAGGAAAAATCATGTTTTGCCTTATGTTTTACCACATTCTTCAGTTACCCTGTTAATTCAAAACACCGACATGCCAAGATGACGCGCTTTTAAGAGGTGATGACTTGCTTCATTAGGAAATTAAATTTCTAGAGAATTCAGCTTGCTTTAAATGCTTTTTGTCAATGCTGTTATGTACAGGCTCTGAAAAGGTGTTACCCAAAAAAGCAGAAGTCCTATGTAGTCATCACTTATTCTTGCAAAGCAGTGTTGAATTGGCCATAAAACTATCTCAGATAGTTTGGTGCCCAGAGACCAGACAGAGCGGTCCCAGCAAATGAGAATCTGTATCTTCTGGATATACTTGGATAAAGGTACGGGCCTGAATTAGTGATAGTTTTATCTATTGTTTCAGATGAAGAAGATCCAAATCTAATAGAAAAGGCTAAAACTAAAGCTTTGTACAGGAATTTTCTAGGTCTTTCCTTGTCAACCTGCTACATGCTGGCTGAAAGCCTGTTTTCTTTAAATATTGTCACTGTTCCAGTTGCTCCACTCCTTCAGGCTCTCTGCTTGGGAAAGCACCGGACAGGTTTGCAGGGGAAGAGGTCAGTACTCGCTCCACTGTTAGTTATTACCCTAAAGTATACTTCTACAGCAAAGACTCATTACCCACAGTGAAGTAATCCTAAATGTCAGCCATGATGTTGTTCTCAATTTTACAATTTGAAGTCTGGAAACTTTTTTAAGACGCATCGATAAATCAGAAGATAGTGGTGGTATCAGGAAAAGACAAATACTGTGGGCAGAGAAACGCTCACCCGAAATTTATTCACCTGTCACCTTCT